ACAAGTCACACTACTTTGTCATCCTATAGTCTGTTTGGAACATAAAAGATACTTTGTAGATTTAACTGTTGGCTTTCCTCTGGCATTTTAATGATTATTATATAATTAGAATTTGTTCTGTTTCCCTCGAAAAGACAGATATAAGAGAAGCTTTCTGAAAGTTTCTACACACAGTACTTAAACATGGGTGCAAGTATATTTAGAAAATGTTTTCCTTTGAATGCTTAATCAACAATCAAAATATTGTTTTGCAAATGTTAATGGAAATGTTCAATAATATTTTGCCAAGTATATGTTCAAAATGTATCTGATCCCTGGTTTGTAGCCAAAAATCAAAGAAAGAGTATTTGCCATATTTCTTTTCAAAGAGTTTTTTATTTTTCATGGTTTACTGAGGTTGACATCAACTGAAAGACAATGAAGTTTTCTCAAAAGTTAAATGTTTGGTTTGAGAAATTTTTTTGAAAAAAAAAATGTTCAGAAAAAACATTAGTTTAAAAACTGTCATTTTGATTTCATAGCTGACTATATTCCCTTAAAACAAAAACAAAAATAGCTTTAAGGAAGAGAAAACAAAAGAATTTTTTTTAAAAAATTAATTCTATCTGTCTTATTCTATTTATTGATTCCCATGTTGTTATTACTATATTTTACATCTTTAGTTATGTGGAAAGTGACTTTTCAGCCAGTTCAACCATATTAGAATAGAGTTTGAATAAGCCTCTGAAAAACTGAAGAGACTATAGAGAAGCCTATGACATTTTGTTGGAAAAAAAATTGTATTCACATGTCTCCTTATATTCGATATTATCTCCTTATGTTATCTATTTACATAATGTTTTTGGACATAATAAATAACACTGTTAAGAATAAGTGAAATTGTTTTAGCTTGAACATCTATCTGCTCATCTTGCTGTGAACAGATTACTCTTGGGTGATTTCTGTGCCGTTCAAGCGAGTCTCATAATGATAATGCAGTGTTTGAAGGCTTCTGGTGACTTTTATTGTCAGATCTCTAGTTCACTCATTTGACAAAAAGTAAGGAAGCCTAAACTGCTTTGTTGATATGCTTATATCAGATATATGTTACTAGCTAGCTTCCTAAACAGTTCATTGGTTTTTCTTTTCAGTAGTTAGTTATGGGCCAAAAGAAAGTATTTATTTTTTCCCAAGTGTCGGATAAACCTAGAGGATCACTGTCAAATAATTTGACTTCTGTTAGAATAAAGGCAAACCAGTCTGAAACAACCTGGATTTAATTTTCTCCACCATTTGTGATTAGCATAGTGAGCAGCTCTGTAGCCCTTAACAGGTATTTTTGTAGTTACTCCAGTAGGAGCAAATTATAAGAAGAGATTTGAAGGAGAATAATGTAGCAAATTTCATTCTTTTTCTTCCAACTTTGTGTGATAGGTAGCCTAGGAATTTTAAAAAAACTTTATAGGAAATCTGACTCAAGGGCAATAGAGTCATACTGGACAATAAGTGAGTGGAATGAAGAGCAGACTCTGGACAGACAGTAATGTAATTGATGAATAGTTTGGCCCGGGAATAGTATTATATGTGGTTGAAGGACAAATGGTGGAAATGTGACACCTTCTAACAGTGAATGAGTGAAAAACATCTGCATATACAGGGCTGGCAGCTGGTGGATATTGATCCGATGGTGTGCAATGTGAGGATTTTGTTGATGTAGGTCCTTGTTTTATTCTCTGGTTTTTTTTTAGTCTGCTTAGGCAGTTCTTACCATCAACCTTCTCCCTGAAGGCCCTATGAAATACTAGTATTTTTGTCGTTGTTAATATAAGATCTTGTACACACCTTCTTTCACAAAATTGCTTTTTCTTTAAAAAAAAAAAAAAAAAATCAGTTTGTTGCAACAGACTCTACGACCTCACCAATTCCTGGGATTCCGGTGGCTGCAATAGTTTTGATATGTTTCTGAATTTTTAAACATTCATGAGGTTTGTCTTGTAAGTCATTTGTAGGTTCCACCTGAAATGCAATATTAATGTATCTTCTCTTTGTTTAGTGTATTCCTGTGGCATTTTTATCACAAGGATCTATAGAAAATTCATTCAGACTAAACAATACAAGGGTCTTTTTTACTACATATTACATTTTGTTAAGTACAATTTCAAGTGGCTACGCTTAGCAGGCACTACTTGGGAACCAGGTATCCTATTTTACATTTTCTCCACTTTGAATTGTCTGGGAGTTTCACTTTCCAATTCTTCACTACTATAAGGGTGTAAGAAAGACATTGCGATAGTTCCCTTGATGCCTTTCTTCTGCCTTTCTGTGACATCTGATACTCATGGCTTTTATCTTCTACTATACGGCCTTACATTTGACTAAGCTGTTATGACTCATCTGTTGCATGTAAGAGCATGGAGAACATTGTTTGCAGATTATTCTGTGACTGCATGTAATACCAAGGACCAGACTCAGTTGCTTAAATGATCCGGTTCCTAAAATAAATTAGATATGGCAATGAATTATGACTTCCTCAACGCTTTTTTATGATTTGTCTGCACAAGTGACTGCATGTTCCTATGCCCACTTTCACGAGGCTGAGATATTTGTACAGTAAAATGGTATATATTTGTACAGTGAAATGCTATTTGCACAGTAACATCTATAGTGCTAAAATGGATTTTCTTTTTCCTTTTCCTAAAATGTACTGGGAAATAAAACTCCAAGGAAATGGCAAGGGGTTAAATAAATTTTCATTGATACCGTTTATATAATAATTTTAGTAGAATGTTTATATATTGCCATATACTTCCACAATGTATACTACTATTTTATTTAATAATGCATACAGGATTAAATTTTAAACATTAGGTTCAGATTATGCTGAGCAATTATAAAATAACTTCCTTAAATGTAGTGATAGACAAATATTTCCACATAATTATTATTCAGAAATAAGTACTGTAATGCAAATCAAAATAATAAGTGTCTTATTTGACATTTCCTGATATGCTTAAGGAGTGAGGGAGCTGTGTGTGTTTGTTTTTTCTTTCTGGAAACAAGCAGAGATTCTTACTGAGTTATATGTGAACGCGTTGGCTGGACCTGTTTAACCAAAATCTTGGTTTTAACAAAGAGGTGAAACCCAGCTGTATTACAGCCTATTTTATCTTCTGTCCTAATACATACTTAGTTAAATATGTAGGGTGTCACTGATCTCAATGTTGCTGCAGGCAGAAAACAGTATTTGAAGAGGGCCTTTTGGCTATTTATGTATTGAATGGATGAATTTTGCTTGTTTCTTCCTATTTCATGCTGTTGAAGGACAAATGGAGATTAGGAAGGAAGAAAAATTAGATCCATTTCACTAGATAATAATAAAGAAGATCAACTGTTTGTATGGCCTGTAAGACTTCTACAGACCTTTGTAATGCTGATTATCTAAGATGTTTCTTAATATTCTCAGAATTATTTTCTGTTAAGGAACATAAAAATTCCTTAGTTAATGAAACTATTATTGAATGAAATGAAGAAAAATCCATAATCTTCATGGTTTCTTAATAGATCAAATAGTTTAACTTGATATCAAGTCAATAAAAATTTGGTCTCCATTGCACCGCAATAGCTTGCATAATGGCACTGTATTCAGCTTTCAACTTCATTGGGTTTAATCACTCCATTAAGGAGAAGAAATATCTGATCAAACAAGAATGCAGCATTGCACTTTTTGAAGGACTAATATATTTTCAATATCCGTTGATTTTATCCCAGTAAGAAGTTAAGAGAGACAGAGGAGGGATTATCCTTCAGACGTGTTTCTTCCACAATAAAGAAGTAAATACAGACCCTATGACGTCCTGCTTTTGCTCTGAAATTATTTAATCTCAGAGATGTTTCAAAATCTCAGTGCTTGTTTACTAAATAGATTTGTGTAATCTAAAGATTGAAAGAAAAAAGAGACATCTTAAAATGTCTTGGGATACCTAGCTTGTTTTGTGATAGCTAAAGTATGATTTCTGTTACAGTTGGCTGGTTGCTCAGGTTTCTTTGTACTACACTTTTCCAAGCTATCAGAAAACTCAGTAAATTGGGTGGGGGGTGCGCTAGTTTTACTGACACTTTGTCAGCCTTCAGCCTGACAGCTTTAAAGCAGATTAGGTTACCCTCAGATGGTTGCAATACAACATACAGTGGTTTGTCTTTAAATGATTTGTCTTCGGAAAAGGGTGGCGCTTAAAAATGATTGTTTAAAAATCTTTTCACACTTCATTCATTGCAGTTACAGATCTCCTCTGATGATGCAATTATGATTCAAAATGGAGAACTATAGAACAAATAAACTCAGTTTTTGAAACTAATTCTTTGTGTTTGGATGTATTGTGGCAGCATGCTTTTAGAATAAGGTAATTCAAGTTGAGACAAAATAGTAGTTCATCTTTCTAGAATAGAATATCATTAGTTCAGCTCAAAAATAAAACGAATTTCTCTTAAATATGACATCTGTAGGAAGTAGCACTTCTGAGCAAACAAATAGGTCTATAACTTGATCCTCTCCCTGTGTGCACAAGCACTTCCGATTGGGTTAAATGTGTGGAATACTGCAGCATAGAAGTACTGGCGCTTGGCTGTGCTGTCACTGGAGAAATTTCATGTTCTCTTCAAGCCTGGAATTGATGGCCAGAACAGGCAGGCAAGCATCAACGTAGTTGTAAAACCTGGTTTATTTCTTAAAAATAAATACAAAAATATAAATATAAAACATTGGCAGATAGAATTTGATGAAATGAAGTTGCACAAACTTTTTTTTTTTTTAAACCAGCTGCATATTACACTTATTAACACCACGTGTACATTTTGTTTTCATTTTAATGTACAGAACAGGACATATTGGATTTTTTCTTCTTTGCCATCTTAAAAGCTGCACTTGCAAGGATAGGACATGTACCTAACAGAAGCGGCTTGTACATGAGGTTGCTTAAGGGATTATCACCCTGTTCAAATTTCCGAAGGTAAGGTATTGTTTATTTTACTTACTAAAATGGACAACACTGAATTTCCATAGCTTTGGCTCTTGGAAGGTGATTAAATAAAATGCTGTATATATTCCAAGTGGAATCCTACTAGAAAGAATGAATGACATTAATGGACAAATTAAACACAAATTTTAAAAGGAAATCATTGTGCTGAGTGGCAGGAAAATTTTCCTGAATGTTAAATACTGTTGAGTGCAGAAGGTGTCTGTAAAATTACTTCCGCTCAAAGGAAACAAAAATGTAGCCTACTGTAGGTTAAGAAGTGTCTTTGTCACTTTCTCCTCCACCGTACATTTCAGCTAGCTTATTAAACCGAGGGCCCCATTCTCGGAGGTAATCATAGTTTTGGTCTCCTTCGGTAGTACCCGACTCTAAGGAGCTCAAGGATTCCGCTATTGAATCATTCCCTTCATAGGCATAGGTTGCAAGTGAGTCATACGGCGGTGCAGAAGGATCAGTATCGTGCTCTTTTAGCCTTTGGTTAATGAAATCTCGGACATCTGTGTTATCTGGTGCTGAAGGAGTCCTCCGTGGTACAAATAACGTTTCAGGGATAATGTCTCGTCGAAGCTTCTTATCTTCGATAGCTGCAGGATTCCTCAGTGTGCCAATATCAAAGGCTTGGGTGTCTTCCTCTCCACCGCCTTCATCATTGTAACTCACAATGTTGTCTCTGATGTCCTCTTTAGAGAGGATCAAAGGCTCCTTCTTCCGTTGCCTCTTCAGAGCAGCAAACAGCACCACTATAACTTAAAGAAAGAAACAAAGAATCTCTGTTTATCAGTTTCTCAGTAGCAAATCCACCAGGTACAAGAGCTTTATTTCAGCTACATTTCAGCAATTCATTTCTGTCTGATAAATGGATAAACATCTCTAACTGTATCACAGTAGCACAGGTAAGGTCTATATCAAAATGTGCTATTTTTCACACACATTGTGTGCTCTGCTTTACAGAACCATGAGCTTGTCTACATGCTCCTTCTGTAACTTTAATGAGTTTTAAAATAGCCAGGTCTATTCTGACGATCTTTTCCTTTTTTTAAGCTCAAAGTGTACTGTTAAAAACTGGCTTTGAGGTGAATTATAGGTCATTAGTGATATTCTGAAAACCGCAAAATGGAGGTTTAACAAAATTTACTTTTTTTTATTACAGCACAGAAACCTCTGGATAGACAGTGCTTTAATATAGTAAAAATACTATTTACTGGCATATTCTGTGTGAAATATATACCACATGTTGACTTTAGGTAGTTATTTAAATAAAAAAGAGACTTCCCCTCAAAAAAAATTTAAAATGAAAGACATGGAAGTGATTTTCCATTATACTATTCCTCTTCTCTTTTTTGGACAACTTAACGAAAGAACAGAAATGAGCTTCTGGTTGCACACTTGACAGTTTTAACAGTGTGGGACTTGAATTCTTATTTACAATGTCCAACTCCCAGACAAGTGGGTTCTGCTTTTTTTTTCTTTTAAGTTGCAGTTGAATTCTTCTTGCAAAACCCATGATCATTAATTTTTACCAACCTGCACAGTTTTGTAAAATGAGCCAGGCCTCAAGCATATGTTCATAGGGGGAAAGATGCATTTTTTTTTTCTTACCCAGCAGGATAATGATGCAGAGGAGGATGGCAACCAGTGCGCCGGTGCTGAGGCCGGCAGGGAGGAGCAAGGCCTCAGCGTTGCAGGACTGCATGTTCCCCCGGCTGTCGCAGGCACACACGCGAATGGTCAGCGTGCCGGTGCTGCTCTGGATCGGGTAGTCATTGTCTGATATCACCACTGGTAGAAGGTAAGTACTTATTTCATGTCGACTAAAGCCATTCCTTCTTGTCAAAATTCTGGCAGTGTTATCTAGATTGATTAAAATACACTGTTGTAGAGTGTATGAACATAAAATATATCATTTCTAGTACATGCAAACCATCATATTTTACATCACTGGTAGCATTTTGAAACTGTTCCTGATATCACAGTGGTATCTCTCTTTTTCTAATGACATTCTCATTTGATCAGAAAGCTATTTATTATTTTTTATATACATCTGGCCTGCTCCTCTGTGCCTCTGTACCACCTTTGAGTGTGATTTGAAAAGAGGATTTCTCAAAGCTTAAAATGTTTTATAGATTAATGCATGCAGTGCATGACAGTTCCAGTTCAGGGCTGAAGCCCTGAAACAAAGTGGCCAACTGAGAAAAAATAACCTTCCACTTCACGCTGTTCAACAAGCACTCTGTTCTGAAAGATTCTTTCTATGGATCTTCTGTGACAACACCCACGGGAGTGCTATCTGTAAACTCAGTATGAGATTTTCCACACCAAAGCACTTTCAACATACTGTAGAACAAGGAATTATGTACCTTAGCACATGGAATAGATTTGGGGGGGGGGGGTAAAAATTGTCATAGGAATTCAGAAAATATGAAAGACAGTAGGTATTCCTTCATAGTTTTGAGAAGTGAACTTACTAAACTGTATTTGTAGCAGACAAATCTTGGTTGTATGCAGTATACTTCAGCATCAAAAGCTGCTCACTGAGTGGCCAGAGTGAAGGTAAGGAAGAGAAGGAATGAATAACAGGGAGAGACTATTTCTTCTATTGTTAGTGACACAACACTAGAGTGTGAGCCAACGCTAGAGTTACTAACATTTTAGTCCAAAAGAAAGGAAATACAGATGAGGCTCCATTAGAAGGAAAATTTAATTTTCATCATACTTGTGGATCTCTTGAGGTAAGTGACAGCCAACTTCAGGCTGAATTAAAACAACCCATGTGCAAAAAGAAAGAAAATAATTACAGATAGAAAAGAAATAGCAAGGTCTATAACTCTATACACTCAGGACCTAGTCACCAGGATATAATCTTTGTTTAAAATATTAAATTATACATTTTTTTCATAGTCTTCATGATGTGAAACACAAAGTTTTCCTTTATTGCATCCCTTCATAGGTTTTTGGTACTTGTATGTTATTTGTTTACACTCAACATCAAAAACTATGTTTCTGATGGATCTTTATATATCTCTGCTGCTGGGGATTTTGTAAGGAACACAAACTATTTGATTTGAATTCTTCACTTTCCCTACTCTTAGAACTTTTTCTGCTGTTGTTTGCAGCCTATTACTTCCTGAAATCTTCATCAGAAAAAGAGGATTATTCCCATTGCCTGTAACACTTTTGAAGGCTGATAGCATGTCCCCCTTCATTTATTTCTTCTGCAATCTAGAGCCCTTTCAGTTAGTCATACTGACGATGAAGGCCAAAATGGGTGCTTAGTCCTCCTTCCTCAACAGAATCTTCTGAAAATTTTCTCTGATAAAGAAAGATTGACAAAGGATCAAAAGAAAAGCCAAAGTGGCTATGGGCTTAGAACTATTATTTTCATTAGTGGTCAGAAAGAAGCAAAACAGAAGACCAGGGGAATCAGAACTATGTGACAGAAGGCTAAAGTGAAAAATCTGAACTTGTCACCTGAAACCTTTTTTCTTCTTCAGTCAAGTATTTCATCTGGCTACTCAAACCAACATTTTTACTGATTTTCTTTATAATTTGTTTTATCACATTTTCGCCATGCTATTTTTTGCCTCCATTACACAGATAAATATGTAGAAGTCCTAAACCACAAACAATCAGGTAAAATTATTATTCGTGCTAGCAGCAGCCTTAATGGCTTCTCTACATATTGATAGATATCAAAAGCAAATATATTTCAGGAATGTATGCCAGACAGCAAAGATAAAACTCCTTCCCTGGAATAGGCATGAATTTTACCTTCATTATCCTGAACAGTGAAGTTAGGGTTAACAGCAGCTAAACTGAAGAAAAACTTTTGTCCACCAAGAGGGTCATCTTTGTCTACTGCACTTATGGTTTGAATAAGCTGCAGGAAAAAAAACAAGCAAACAAACAACAAAGAATCCAAATACACTTAGGTTTTTGACAGAGCTGTCTGATTACTTTAAGAAGACTATAAGTGTTAAGACAACTTCATATTCAAACTATACACATACTGATTTACAGCTTAATCTGTAGAACGCATTAACTGAACAAATGTTAAAAAAGCATATCATATAAGTTTTTCCAACAAGAGCATCCATACATTTCATGTGGTGGTACACGTACATGTATAAAATGGCCAGCTTCTGCCTTAGTCTTCCTCTATTTCTTTTTTTTCAATACATCTTTATGTATTTTTGTAACTATATAGGGGACACAACTTGCCAGAAGTAGCTTTATCTGTAGCCTAGGTAATTTTTATTCTTCATCTCTGATCCATCATTTTAAATTCAAATCAATACCTAAGATAGGAATTCAGAGGATGTTTTATATTTTTGTGATAAAAATAGTATTTCATCAAATAGATTTTTCTGATAGGGAAGTTAAAGTTTCAAATTAAATTTCAAAATAATAACATTTGTTTCTACAACAAGATATTTTCTATTTATTAGTATAGCAAAACACACCAATAACACTCCTGAGATTAAAAATGCCAGTTAGATTACATATGTATTTCAACTCTTGTAAAACACTGTAGCATACTCTACAGCTGCACAACCTCAGAGTGGGATGAGAATCTGGTGTCACAATTCTCAGAGTAAACTGCATCAGGTCAGTTCAATATTTGGATTGAGTGCTTTCTGCAATGCCTACAAAAAGTTTGGGTATTTTGGGGGGAAGTAATGGCAAGCCCTTTATCAACATTTGTTTATCTGCCAGGTAAATAATGTGTAGCTTTTTTTCACAGAAGTTTCTATGCCTAAGGGTGGCAAAATGTCATTTCCCCCAAAATAAAATTTTTTATGTATTTATTGCTGTATTTCAGAGTGGTTTTTTTAATACCATAGCAATAAAAACTGTACCTATGGCAGAATTTTTGTGCATGCATGCATGAATGTTGAGTTATGTTCTTAAGCTTAACTTCCAAAAATAAGTTAATATTTAGCCTAGGTCATTTTTATTCTTCATTTGTGATCCATCATTTTAAATTGCAGTGTTTTTTCAAGCATGGAATTACATCTAATTTTTGACACTACTCCTTCCCTGTGGCATACTTGTTAAACCCTGTTTGTTTTTCCTCTTCCAGTTCTTCCAAATACAGCCATTTCTCTTCATATCACAGCTTTTGTCAGGACTGAACACCTTAAACATCAACAATTGCAATGTACTCCTGTTTGCCTTAACAAATGCATGATTAACTCCCAACTTCTCTCCTGTCCATCCAGAATACAGCAACAAATTTCTTCACGAGGCAAGGATTGGATTTCTTTTAATACAGCAGCTTGTTTGCTTTCTCAACTGGAGTTTTGTTTTTCTTTAAATTTGTTTCTCCCTCTTCTGACCATTACTATAGGGAAAACGAATATGTAGAAAAAATATACTCGGCTTCCATATAAAAAGTCTCTAAAGTAGGACTGACTTCTGCTTTCTACACTGACTCCTGTCTTTCACCTCAGAGGATCTTTGGAGGCTGGCTGCTGAGCTGCCAGATATGTGGCAGCTGGGAGCTGACAAAACCAGTGGGAATCCACCTGCCCAGATGCCCAACTCCTGGCTCTTCTTGCCTGAGGGTGAAGGACAGCTGAACTTCTTTGGGTACCGCGCTGCAGCAGTCCAAGCATTTTGCTCCTTTCTTCCCCTCAACTCCTACTGAGTCAGCCTTGTATAGCTCACATGAATGCCTGTGTCCCCTTTATGCCATCACACCAGGATTGTCCTCGGTTTTAGGAGGGTTAAAAGAGCAACATCCAGCAAAATGGCATTCTGCCAGAGGCACTGCTTGTTTGTACCTTCAGCTTTTTGGAACAGGGTATTCCTGTTGTTTGGAAGGTCATGGTATGATGTGACATCAGCAGTAATAGCAAGCAGGAAAACAGTCACAGGCCCTTTAAGTCACTCAGATTTCAAAAATCACATTTCCTAAAAAGCACTCTCCCTCTCTCTCTTGCTATGTATATGCATAGATGTGTATGTGTCTATATATGTATATACACACACATCCATATATATTATATATAGTGTGTGTGTCTATATATGTAGGTCTATACATATGCATGTATATATATTATATAAACTTCTATATAAACTAAGTGAATAGAAATTTTAAGGGAAAACAAAGAAACTGGAAAACTATAATATTCATTAAAACGTTTGTCAGTAGGAGATAGGAAATATTGAAATGAATACCACAGAATTTGTGACTGATGAAGTACCATAATAGTTTCAGTGATCTAACAAAGATTTACATTTGATCATGGCTCAAACGTAATTATGAAAACCTGAAAGGAAAGAAAAATAGTACAGATGTATGAGGAATCAAACTTAGAGAACCGTGTTCAGTGTGGATTGATTAGATTCAATCTCTCAGGACAGACTGAAATCCAAAATAACAAGTCTTATTTATGATCTACCAGTAAGCAAGAATATAATTACATTCAAATAGATTATTCATGTTATCCTGCATTGCATTTTTTTTCTCTTCCTGTGAATTGTTTTCTTTAAACAATCATTTGCAACTCAGATTTTTTTTAAAAAGTTATTATATTTACAGCCCTTTTAGGAAACTTGGCACTTTTTTCTGATAAATGAGACACTACTGAGCTCTGTAACAATTTAAATAAACATTTATGGATATGTATACTTATTTAGCTTCTCATTTATTAGTCATAAATGATTAGTATGGGTTTTTTCAACTTTTTAACTGACAGCCTTTTCTGAATGTAAAAAGAAAAAAAGTAATGCAGAAATAACTTTTATATTTACTTTCTAATTATACTGACCTCAATATTCTAGATAGCTCAGAAAAAAAGAATTCCTCGAAATATGTTTACATGAAAATATAACTGTTCTAGTAAGTGTTTCCTCTATGCTCTATAGTTAGTAACCTGGACAAAACAGATTCTAAAAGCTCAAAAGAGTAAGATTTGTGGATTAATGCATTTAGATTTTTTTTCCCCCAGGATTTTTTTTTTGTGAAACTGGAAGAGGAAAGTTCAGAGCTCTACTTTTCCAATTCTTAATCCATGTCTCATATTGAAAATGATTAAAATATTATTTTAGCATTTATACAAGTCACTGCAACTGTCAAAAAATTCTAGATGCTTAGCCAGTGATTTTTATTTATCTAACAGCTTGAATTCTCTTGTAACTCTCGTAGCAGACAAATGCACTTGCTCAGTACCTTTAGGTATTTTATGCATTATAAATTTGGGCCTTAAATCCTCTGTTCTAATTCCAGCTGATGTTACTTTAGAAAGAATAGCAACCTGAATGTGAAACTTGTAATACAACCTGAATGCCATACCTGTAGGACTCAGTTAAGACAAGCTGGCACTTCTCCCATGTTCTATTCAAAGGTGCTAAATTGATTGCACTGAGGTACTACTGTTACCATTTTAAAGGATTTATTATTGGCTGACTGTGCTCTGGGACATGCTGTGCTGTAATAGGAAAACAGTTTTTCAACAGTTCTAATGAGCAGCTGCCTATTAGGAACTAGATATTAAGTAGTGCAGTTGTTTCACTTTAATTAAAGTACAGATTCTGTAGCCTCTAAGAGGCAAAACACAAAAGTTTGGTGTGATAATAAAAGATAAATCTAACAATTGCCAAAAAAAAAAAAAGGCGTGACATGTAAATATCTGTAATCACCATCAGCATGGACTGAAATATATATGAATTTTGCTGTTTGAGAGTTATTGAGAATATAGATCAAACTTTTTAGTAGTTACATATAACATTTTACTTTGTGAAGATAACAGCAAAACTAATTATGACCATGTCTCTTGGATATATCTAGCCAGGATTTAACAGTAGTACAGGGTTAGGTAAAGAAAAGTGATAATTCACACACTGAAGCTGTTGTAATATATTGATATTTCACTCTAAGCCTCACCTACAGAGCTACTTTGCTTTTGTTTTTAACATTTCAAAAGCTATTTTGGACATGATTTCTCCCAAGCAACAGGCAAGAATGATCTACAGTTGAGTGCTGTAGCAAAACTGGATAGTGGAAGTGTTTCTCAAAGGCATACCTGTCCAGCTCTTGCATTTTCACAGACAAACGTGTCGTAGAATACAGCAAACTGTGGGGCATTGTCATTAACATCCAAAATTCTTACGTAGACAGGAACACGAGTAGTATCTTTGGGGTTGTCTGACAGGAGAAAAGAGAAGAATAATGACTTTATTTTCCTACTAAAAGTTTTCTGTTTTCTTCCAAATTTCATGAGCAATAGACATGCAAGATTAGGTCTGAAACTGGTCAAAATTTAGCACACAAACTGATACCGGGTAAAAATCAGGCCCTCTGAAAAATAAGATGTTTTGCTTAGAGTAAATAAATTAACGTATTGGTATCTAGTGAGCAATTAAGATTTTACATGAAAATAGGGACTGCAACTGTTAACAATCTATGCAAATATAGTATATGAAAAGTATGCCCACTACTATAATGACAAATTTGATTATTTGGTGTGCTCAAGAGTATTGTTCTGCTGTAAGGTTTTGATTTTTAACTTTAAAATTCTTTGTGATCTGTTTTGTTAAACACAGAAAAGACATTATTGACTTTGTGCATACATATTTTGAAAAATTTTCAAGCCTGACTTTCCTCTCTTGTGCCTGAATAAGTAGGGAGAAATTCCAACAAAGCCAATGAAAGCATACCCCCCCAAAAAAATCTGGTAAAGAATTGATCAGAATCAAAGGGTTTATGTTTAAATTGCCTTAAAAAATATGAATATAGATCTTCAGACCTTAGGTTACGAAACAAGAATAGTAACCACCCCTTGCCAAATGCCAAAATCCTAGTATCATTTAGAGTACCCTCTCATTAGTATAGGTTAGTTCAGGAATACAAGATATCCTGTTCTCACTTGCTGATCTAGTTGCCATACTAAGAATCTGAAATAACGCCTGAGAGTAAAAAAGTGCAGACATTTCTTGGAATTCTTCTAGATGGTAGCTGAATACTGTATGATTTTGGAATTTTAATGGAATGGGATAAGTGAAAATAAAGATGATTCAAAATTACTGATGTTTTTTTCCTTTTAAGCTGCTTCAAATAAAATAGTAAACATTTAGGAGTAGCTGGCATTAAATTCACTTGTTATTAATAACACCTTTGCTAAAGAGTATGATGTGGATCTTTTTGACATCCTGAATTCTTTAAAATGGCAGGCTTACGGCACTGTTTTTCAAATCCTTTTGCATTTTTGTACTAACTTTCCAAATATGTTCTATTCTTAACACTGCACTGCATGGGGTTGCCGTGACCCAAGTGCAGGACCCAGCACTTGGCCTTGTTGAACTTCATACAGTTGGCCTCAGCCCATCGATCCAGCCTGTCCAGATCTCTTGGTAGAGCCTCCCTACCCTCAAGCAGATCAACCCTGCATCCCAGCTTGGTGTCATCTGCAAATTTGCTGAGGGTGCACTCAATCCCCTCATTCAAATCATTGATAAGGATATTAAACAGAATGGGGCCCAACACCGAGCCCTGGGGAACACCACTTGTGACTCGCTGCCAACTGGATTTCACCCCATTCACCACAACCCTCTGGGCTTGTCCATCCGGCCAGTTTTTCAGCCAGCAAAGAGTACACTTGTCCAAGCCATAAGATTCACAGGTAATAATATTTTAAAAGATTTAAAGACCTAAATCTCCCCCTTCACTTCTTTCTCCCAAACTAAAGTACCTCTTTGGAGAATGCTAGCTACTCCAGCTAGGTCCAGAATGTAAATTTACTCAAAGTGTCCTCACAAGGAAAAAAGTTTAGCACTTTGATATAAACACACAAGGATACTAAGTTTTTTTGTTATATAAATACTTCTGAAAAGTATTCTTACAATATTGGACAGCACTGTGAAGGACTGGAAGTTCAGGACTATGCATCACAAGTGGAAAAAAAAAAGTTTTTTTTTTTTTAAATTATAGCTACTGGGTGTGCTCAATACAACCAGCCTATTATTTTGGACTACAGGAATGGGGACAGGGCAGCTAAGAGTGGTTAATTGGCTAGACATGACGTTTCATTTAGTTTTCTGCAGTGTAGTTCTTGCCAGCCACGTTGCACTGCTGATCAGCGCTTTTTTTTTTTTTTGACTGATATAGAATTAACCCTGAAAAAACAGTGTATTTGAAAGCAAGTGATCCTCACTAGCTGATTTCAAAGATCAGACCTTTGTCCCTTAGAAAATTTTCTGTCAGGTGATTAATCTCAGTAATGTAGCAGGTTTAGGAGGATCTCTGCTTTCTTCTTTGTACTTTTAACATGAAAATATCTAGAGACCTGTTTTAAATAGTCCAAGAAATGCTACAGCTTAGGGATGAAATTGAACCTAACTTGTAAGATGTATTGATTCCAAGAGCTGTAGGTATAGATACCACAGGAGGAAATAAAATTATTTCTAAATAAATAAAGAAAATGATAGAGACAAAAACATAGATTACCATCCTGAACTCTGCTACTTTAACATCAAAATCATGTCATTGTCCTCAAAGAAAAGGAAGAAAACAGAATTACTGCAGTGCTGTTATTTAATTGGGTAACATTTCAGAAGTAACTTGGACATTAAAGGTCAGTGGTGGAAGTAGGTGAGGAAAAAAGCAATGAGGAGACAGCTGCTGTTAGCTACCCCCAATTTACTTTCCCAGAATATCTAATAGAAAGGGGCAGGGGGAAGGAAGGGAGTTTTTTTTCTCATGAAGTCACAGCTGTAACTTTGCAGGCTAAGGAAAACTGAAAGGAAAAAGAGACCAAATTGGCTTACTGATCTCAGCTGCTATAACGCTAAGATTGTGCCATTGTGATATCTCACGGTCAAGTGGCTTAGAAGTATAGATGGACCCATTTCCAGAATGGATATTAAATATCCTGTCAAGGTCAGTGTGACGATCCAGAGAAAACCTAAATATGATAAAGAAAGAAAAAGTATTGTCAAAATGATAGAAAATGGAAGAAAGCATGTTTCACAAGTCAATATAGCTTTTAGGTTCTATATGTTACATTACAAAGGTTAGTTTTGAGAAGACATACATTTAGTTTCTATAAAAACTTGTGAAAATTCTCAAGGTTACTTTCATAGAATGAGGAATAAAAATTTAAAAAATTTCATAAATATGATACAATAGTATAATATTTGACCATCTGAGCTTTTATAGACATATATGAGAACCATAAAAAAAAGTCAGAATGTCAATATAATAAATAAAGAATTGTTTTAATCTTGAAAGGAAAATTGTCTTTAATGTACTGTTCCTTCAGACTGAGATTGACAGCTAATTTATGAGCTTTTCAAAAGTATTTTTATAAGCTCAGCTTCTACACTTTAGGATATGTTAATTTATTAGCGATCAAGTTAAAAAAAACTCTATAAAAGTAAGTTCACATACCAAACTTTCACTTTCATGAATATACTGATGTTAAAGGACTTTCTATGTTGCTATAGTTGCTGTACTTCTGCAGGCAAAACTTCTACTAACACAATATGGCAGAATGTCAAACTAGAATCAGAAATTTGCGCTTTCCTCCATTTTTTTTTCTAATATTTAACACTGCTTTCAAAGCTAGGATTGAACCTTTGGTGTAGAACTGAATGTAGGATTTTGTGAAGTACAGAACATTTACCGAACTACCTGGCAGAATTGGGCCAAATTAAAAAAAAGTCTGCTAGTACACTTGGACAGTGCAATGGAGACAAGTGTTCATGTTTCTATGAACTTTTATGAGTGATCTAAACAGTTCATCAAGTGTATCTGTTTTTACTTACAGTACTTAACTAAATAGAGCCAATGAAAAAATGCTGTAATATGAAAATAATCTCTATAACATTTTTGTGGGTTTTGTTTGCTCACTCCACCACACACAATAACATAAATATGTAAAACAGACAAACAAACATCACCCAAATGAACAAGCTGACACCAAAATGAATAAAAAAATAAAACAAAAGAAAATTAGAACAGCTAAAAAAGACTTCTGAAAGTGCAGGGAAAATTTGCTCAAATTATTTTTTTTACTACTAGATGACTATAATAACTGTTAGTTAGAATTAAACAAAAACCTGTTATTTTTAAAAGAAATTATATTGAAGACTATTTGGCTTGTATGATAAGCATTTGATTTTAGTTCATCCATGGAAGGAGTTTTAATGAGGAAAAATTATCCTGACAGCACTCTAGCTAACAGTTTTTCAATAGGCAATAATCACTTCTCTAGCTAACAAGATCCATTCCACATTGTTTCATTAAAAATTCTATATCATTTGATAATAACCATGAGATAAGCACATACTTTTATCCATCATATTATTTCTAATGGCCTGAAAATGCTACCAAAATTATTATTTTCAGAAAATACCTCTATATCATTGAACAGAAATAGAAATTAGTGCAACAGGAAGCTACTGGCACTCAATTTATAGGAAGCCTAACTTATATAGAATTTTAATAAACAGAAACTAATATTTAAAATAAACAGCTAACAGAAAAAAAAAATTAAAACTGAATAAATTCTACAACCTGAAGCTGTAATATTTTTTTTATAGCAGTGTTAAAATATTATACAAACTGCCCTAATTTCAAAATATGACAATTTTCAAAATACTTTAGTTTAAATGTTAGCTGTTCACTTCTGGGGTAAAGACATAGTACTTTGTATTTAATATTGATATTGTAAGAAGTAAAAGCTTATAAAAACTTATCCTAGGTAATTATTGTTTGAATGAATATACAAGGTTGCTTTGGAAGTTGAGGAACAGAGCAAATACTAAAAAGAATTTGATCTACGCTATGCAAATTGTTTTAAAGTTCTTGACTTCAACTAAATAGCATTAAATGAAAGCTAAAAGAAATGACTGTACTATGAAGAGCATTATGAAAAGCATTATCACATATATCTTCAATGTTTTTCTTCAAGCAAACTAAATCTATGTTCAAGGTCCCTTTCAATTTTTTAGAAATTTCTTTGCCCTTATTAATATTGGTTTGCTCTACCTGCCTCTTCTAAATCATTTTCTATGGGGGAATGAAAGAAACATTAATGGGACATAGAAAAATTATATAAAATAATCTTTAGGTTGCTACTTCGTGTAAATAATAGCGATGAGGGAAATAGCTGCCGCAGTTGTTCTATTCATCAAGTTGTGTCAGAAACAAAATGACCCAAAGCACCAAGTTTGTTCTTCTTCCAGTCACTATTAACAAAACATAACTACTAAAATTGTCAGTTGTCTCATGCAATTAGAGTGGATAAAGATGCAATGCTAAGTTATTTATATATACTTAAATTTTAGAGGCTTGGTGTTATCTCCTATCTTTTCCATACACACGAATCACCATAGGAGAAAATTAGATTCAGTCTCATTTCCTAATCCAGTTTTACCACCTAGGCCTCATTAAGAAGTATGTGGCAACTGACTTCAAAGTCAGTAAATTAGGTTCTTTTGCCAGAATGTAATTTTTCTACTTTGGTATTTCAGACAACACACATCTAACTTGGACAGCATTGTCTTACCTCTTTCTTAAAGCTTATGCATTATAGAAAATCAAACAAACAAACCCACACTAAAATATAGTTTACTACATTCAGCTAGATGTGATGTAGCATGTATCATCTAGTAGTATACACAGAAAAGATTTTTAAAGATATTAATCTTTCAATGTCTAATTTCTTGGGGTATCTGAGCACACACAAAGATAATTTTATCCAGTATAGCAATCACTCTGCAAGCCTACAAAGCAGGACGCACCAACCAGAGCAGCGGATATCAGCCCTGTGTGCATTCCGGGACTGACCAGACGAAGCGTTAGAAAGCTCTGTACCCTTCCTGGGCCACAGACTGGTTTGGCACTTTTTCACAGTGTGAAGCGAGTAGTCCTGAAGAGCCTACTTGAAATCAATGTGTAATTTTATAAGTTCTCTGAGATTTGAAGTACTACAAAACATTTTCTGTGTCTCTTGTGTGCAATTGAATGGCTGTTCCCTGAGGTGTTTGGAGGCTTACGGATAGCATCATTCTCAATTCTGTATATCTCTGGGACACTAATAAAAATACAGAAAAAAACATTAGCATCTTCTTCCTGTGTACAATGTGTAGTGAAAATTCATGTTGTATTTCTATGTCTCTTTAATTTCTTTAGTAAATTATGCGTTTACAGAGACTGGAGTATTACCTTATTGGACTTGAGGCTGAATCAGGATCCCGGGCCATTACCGTTCCTATTATTGTCCCCAACTCAATATCTTCATGGACCTCAAAAAGGTAAGAAGATCTGCTGAAGATGGGAGGTTCATCTACATCTTCTACGGAGATTTTCACAATAGTTGTATCTTTGAAAGGCCCAAGGTAATAGAAGCGTGGATCCACATGGGTATTCTCAGCTTCTACTTTCAAGGTATAAAGTCGTCTTGTCTCATAGTCCAGTGGCTAAAAATGAAGATGATGATAAAGTTTATTAAATTACATTACATATTGACAGATGTTGACCTATATACATAATGGAAACTGAAGAGGACTCAAGCCTTGTCAGATCCTGCCATGGGTTGGGGGAACCCCAATACAGTTCAAATTTTCCACACCATAGGCATCACTTTGTATAGTAAGAAATTTCCATTGTTTTTAGAGGAAGTTTCTCTTCCTAAATATTATACAAATTATCATAGCACAAATGACAAAAAGATTTTCAGTGCATATTTACCAATTATTTAGTGAATTTTGCAGCTGTTTCACAAGAATATGGATTTGAAACAATCATATAAGCATTTAAAATACTTGAAATACAAACTTGAAATACTGACATTTCAGAAAAAGGTACTTACTACTAGTATTTCTCAGGAAATACTATAAAATCTTGGATACTCAAAATGGCCTAAATATCCTTATTGTCAGAAAAATGTAGCTGGCCTTAAATATCAGGAATGTTTTAGGTTTATTTTAAGGATGGGTTGTGTATCAAAGTTCTCTATATCTAGAGAAACAGTAAGAGCTTAATCTTGTTTCTTTTCATTTAATTTAATAAATCCAACATCAGAGATATTTTATTTTTTTTACAAAATAGATTTGACATTTTTGTCAGCAGTTCCTTTTTAAAATGGAAGGAGGAAAGTTTCAGGGTTATAATTAGAAACCATTTTGGATAGAAAAGAACCTCTATTCCTTCAAATTTTTCTGTCATAGATGAAAAGTGTTAGCTAATTAATGTTACTGAGGAAATGAGCAAGCTGAGAATTTACCTTTCTGACACAAAGAAGACTTCATTAACTCCTGCAAAATCTCAGGGAGATATCAAACTGGTGGTTTTCATTCATCAAAATGGGGGGTAGAAGACTTGTTCTTTCTGCCTAACTGTTTTTAAATACAAATTAATGTTCATGAAAGATGCCAGAGTGGCAGCCTAGAAATTTAAATATTTTATTTAAGAGCAGAAAGATGCAGTCCAGTAAAAGAATGAGTTTCCCCACTGTCCCAACCTTGTTTTTAAAAAGTAGTTAGAGCAGAAGGGAGAATATCTACAAGTATAATTGAGAAATGCAACACAGTGCTGCTATTTAAGCTAGATCTGAGACTATTGGTATGTCTATAAAGTGCAGCACGCTGCTGTTAAGGGATGCTGGCTTCAAGCCTAGAAGCAAAGAAGCCATGCTAGTCCTGCTTTATTCTAATTAGCTGGCTTAATTTGCCAGAAGGTGCACCACGCAGATGTAGTTAACTTGCTATTAGGACATTCACATCCAGTTTGGACATCTCTTCAGGCTATACTGCAAAACATGGATATAAAATGTGTGGATTATACAGGTATTCCAACATATCACCAGTAATGAACAAAACTGTCACCCAAATATATGAAATTGTGGCAAAACAATTATTTTGTCTGTGAGAACTTGTATAGAAAAAAACTTGTATAGACTAAGTTCTCTTGCAGCAGGTATTAAATTCAGACTTAGTAACTTAAGGGCTCAGTAAAGGAACACCAGCTATTTGTAGTTACTCACCATTGAAAACAGAAATGACAATCAACATGGCTAAATAATAAAAAAATAAAGACTATTTTCATAAATGAACAAACTGAGCACATCTTCCTCCTTGCTAGTTAATGCTGTTGTCTGTGCTATCTGAATAAGCTACTTATCAATATGAGAAAGCATCCTGAAAATTGCAAAATGTGTGAGATTGCTAATGACTGTCGTGGTTTAACCCCGGCCAGCAACTAAACACCACCCAGCCACTCACTCACGCTGAAACCAGGACAATGACAAAATGTGAAGATCTTGTTCATTAGCGTTTATTGGTGACATTTTGGAGCTGCTGTGTTGTAACTTATGATTTTTTTATGCTTGATCCAGTTATTAGACTGTTTTTTCAAGACTGTATTGACTTAATATAATAGCAGACTGTGAAAAACATGAAACAAGCAAGGTAGGAGCATCTCAAGAGAAGCTGTTGCAAACTTCTAGGAAAAGAATAAATAACAGGCCCCAAACTTTGTATTTTCACTCCTTCCCAGCTAAACTACAATGTTGACTATGAACATAGAACATAGAGATTAAAAAGGAACACACTCTGATCTTTGCAGAACTTACCTGTTCCTTGGTTGCCATTGTCAAGAGACGTGGAGATATATTTTAGAGTAGTGTTCAATTTGTTATTCTATGCTTAAGGAGATTTGTTTTAAAAGCTAATATAAACACTGCTTTATGTTAGAAATGGTGCCTGAACTCTTTAGAAACACATCTGAAAATGCCAAAGAAGAGGACTGAGGGACTTCTGGAAGGAAAATTGTTCAGGAGCAGGACAATGGCATTTCTAAGTGTGAAACCTTACACTTCTGAAAGTGTTCTGACATGCAAGACAGAAGGCAGAACTAAAGCTAGCTCTGAAACAGGGTCACCATCATTATTCTCTGCTCATGTGTTCACCAGCTGATGTGTTGGGAACAGGAACAAAACAGTATAGCTTGTGACTCTGCTTCCATGAGTGTGTTTGTGTTCTGGCATACACTGGTCACCTAAGTTGATGAGGGTCTCCTAGATAATGAAAACCTATGTCTCTCAGTAGCGAGTGAACTGTATATTACTTGCTGAAGAAAATGTTCCATGAATACTAAAGAAGTCTGTATTTGAAGTCACAGAGACAGTAGTAACACATTGGGGATGGTCCATTTTTTACATACTTTGCTCACAAAAGTGCTTTAAACCTGTGCTGCATCTCAGATATTGTTACCACCTGTTATTTCCAGTTCATCTTAAAAGGAAATAGTACTGTTCAGTCACTGATGGGGAATGCTAGCAAGTGTTAAGCAGTTACAATATGTCATCACATGATCTAAGCACTTTTTTCCAATGAACATTTATGGCATAACATTGACACCAAAATCATTTAGTGAACGTGGTTAATAGACACCTTTCGCACAGTTATGATGCCTTCCTGTGTGTCCTTCTGTGTCACAATATCAAACATATCTGTCCCATCGCCATCTATAATTCTGTACTCTACTTCTGCATTTTTTCCAGTGTCTGCATCTGTGGCTTTGACACTGCCAATGGCTGTCCCAACTGGGGAGGACTCGGGAATGCGGAGGTGGATGGTACCTGTCAAAGAGACAAAGAGCCACTCAGGAGCCTCATTAACCATTACACATGCATTAAGTAACATTGTGTCACATGATAGCTGATTACCTATTATTGTGTATCTTTTATTCTAGAGAACTTGCCGTTTAATAATGGGAGGATTGGCAAAATGTTGAGACAGAGAACTGTGCAGGTGAAAACTTTAGGTAGAAGATCAAAAACAAAATTGTAGAAAAACAAAATCATAGGAAAATAGGTTTGAAAAGGACCTCTATTCTCCTATCTCAAAGAAGAATCAACTATGTCTGTACTTTTCTTGTCTATATCATTCCTGAAACATCATCTGGAAAGACTGCTCTGCCTTCTTTTCAGTCTTTACTCTGCTTTTTTCCTTTTAATATCTAAGGTGAATCTTTTGGGATACATTTTACATCTAGTTTAACATGGAAGCAATACAAAGAACAGAACCCCCTGACTTCACTGGCCAGTTCTAAGCAATTTCAGCTTTCAAAATTAGATAGTCAGACACAATATTAAATAAATTGAATGACATCTTAATGCAGGGATAGGTTTTTGAAGATCCACAAGCAGAAGGTGTACCTATACTTGTTAAAGCCATTACTTCATACTTAAATAAGGTTTATGAACATTGCAATTTTGGTTTTGCACTACTTTCTCTAGCTCAGTTGTATCCCTTTATTGTGGTGTCATACAGCTCATAAAAACCATAGGAATAAAACTGCCAACATTCAGACATGCTACAATAAATCAAAATAAATATCTTACCATATATTTTAGTATTCTATGTCCTAACCTTACTGTGAAAACTGTAAATAAGTGTTGAGATCTCTGGTCCCATCTGTCAGAACATACAGTAGGAAAACATGTGGGACACATAACACACATGAAGAATTCTGAGAAGAAGATTTTAAAATGAACGCAGATACAGCTGTCATTCCAAAGATGAAAGTTAAGTCATCAAAGCTCTACTGAAAAACATTTTCTTCTCTGGCCTTAGTTAAGTGTTCCAAGATTTGCCATTTTGCCTAGAGACTTCCTAAGTTAAGTAAAATGAGTTAGAAAGATAGTTCAGTTAACAGTAATAAAAAAGTGGAGGTGGTAAAGGCCAGCAACCACAACAGGAAAAAGTTGAACAGGCTACCCTAAAGGCAGCATATATATACCTCGTTACAAATAAGAAGTACAGAAAAGTCCATAAAGAGAGTTTTATTAGTTTTGTGCCATCAGGAAGAATCATGGGGAGAGAGCAGTGGCAAGGCAGTACAGGAAGGCCACTTCCAACATGATCTTATCATACCTTTGGGAAAACACAGATGAGTCACATGAGGATTATCAGTGTCTCTTAATAGAGTTTATTACCAGCCAGCTACAGAGTGACAAGGGAACTGCTTTTGGGTTTGGAAACACTCACTGAAAAAAACCCCTATTATTCATTGGGATGCTTGAGACTTTCATTCTACAGAACTAGTTTTTTCTGTTCTGATATGTTATAGTATGCCAAACCTAAAAAAAAAAAAAAAAAGAGCAACAAAAAATAAAAAAAACCCAACATATTCACATATAGATTGTAATTTAATGTTGAATGAAAAATATTGAAATTAAATTTCTTCATATAATTTTACTTAGCTTTTGATATGAAACTGATATACAGCAGCAGAATTAATACTTTCTGGCCATATACACTCCACATAATATTTATATGAATTTATTTTTGCTCAGTTACATTTTGGTGTTTCAATTGAGTGATTTGTCTTGCATTTGCTATGACATTTTCATTACCTTTCTCTAATACCTAAATCTGTGTACTTTGTTACGTTAGCATATAATCTCTCTGTAATCACCTAATGGTTAAAAAAACAGAAGAAAAAAATAGCCTCTGCTCCCATTTAGTATTTATTCAGTACTATGTGAGACTACGGTGAAAGACCGCTTTTTTCCCCAATTAATATTTATATGTTATAATTAGTTTTATGGTGTGTCACCTATTCGCCACATTCTTTTCTCAAATGTTTAAAACTACATCCCCAAGCTATGCCTTGTGGATGCTACTTTGACTTCCGCTGCAATAGCCAACTAATTAATTTAGTCTACAAAGTAGTAAGAGCTCATATCTTGAATTGCTAATAAGGTAGTGGAAACAGAGAGTGAAAATAACCAGAAACCTACAATATGAAGGATAATTTTATGTCTAACCTATCCATTTATAGAAATCTCCACCATAGTATGAGACGCTTATTTTATTATTTTTTTTCACTGAAGACATTTAATGCATTGACTAAGTATGGGATGCAGTGCAGCTTTAGGCACTGTATCAGAACACAAACTACACAAAACTAGAATTATTCTGGCAAAACTTTTCTGTCAGTCCTTTTCCTCTCACTTCCTCTATTCGTCAAGGAGGGTAATTTTCTGTTTGTATTTGCTCCGGTGAGTGACATTCTTTCATTTGTCTCTCAGGAATAAAAATGGGAGGATCAAGGAGAGGAAAAGCTTTTCCATATACTAAGGAGAGTGGAAATCAGCTGGAAGATTAAAGTATACACACTTGTGTCTGGAAATACTTCAGTCAGTCATAAAGAATGAAAAAGCAATCTTATTCATGTTTACCCTTCTCTCCATTTACTCTTGAATAGGCACATAATGTAAAGGTAAATATTTTTATAGAGTAATACAGGCTATAGTCTCAAAGCAGACATGGGCTGCTGTAACTCAGATGTACTAAGTTTCAGTTAAACTCAGGCTTCTAAGTCCATAAACGACTTTTTACATTTATCATTGCTCAACACCATCTCCTCACTTCTAAGAACACTTGGAAATATTACAGTTGAAACAGAGATCCAATATCTGAGGTCTTTGATGGCCTTTCTGTGCAGAACCTTGATAACATTTTAAATTCTATCATGTTTCCTCAGAAGAGCAGCCACTACTACCTATATGGTTTTCAGGAGATCTTAAGAAGGAGAAAAATATTCTGGAGAGACCTTGCTCTGTAATCTAAACAGAGGAATTAATGGCTCTGCTTTTTTTTCTTTTCTTTTTTTTTTATAAAGTATGATAAAATAAAATACATAGAATTTTCTACAATTCTGAGTTTCTTGTGGGAGAATTTTAATCTGTTCTGAAACATTTTATTGAAACATGTAGCTGTAAGATGCTGAGTCCTGTGAAAACATAATGGACCTTTAATATTTTTCCTAGTAACTTATAAATCTGATATGAACATGATTGTCTCATGAACCTAATACACATCTGGTTTTTATTAATGGAACAGAATAAGAATAATTTAACTTAATCAGTATCAATTTGAGTGGTCTCATTGAACTCTATTAAAATCAGGAATCATTATAATGTTTATGTGCATTTTGAGATTAAATATAAAGATTTTTTAAGAAGTCAATGGCTATTTTTACTTTCATATATCTCATAAAATGAGTGTGCTCTATGAATGTTTTAATCTTCATTTCCAGTGAAACATACATTTATATCTAGCAAAGCTATTGTCAGAGAGAAAGTAGAGAGCAAAAACCAAACCAAAACAACACACACACCCCCCCCATGAGAGTAAAAGTGAAAGTTTCTTTAAAGCAGAGGTCACACCTGATTTACACTGATATTAATAGAAAAATGCAGAGATATTTCTGGGATGCTACATCAATCCTCATCAGATTCAAATCTGATGTTGCATTGCTAGATAAGTCATGTAAAAACGGTCTAGAAAGTTGATTCCATTGCTCTAAGTATTAATTTAACACATTGTTTAAGAAACAAGGGGGGGGGGGGAGAGAAGAGAATAAATATGCATGTTTGATGCTTATATGCTGTCTTAATTTAACTGTTGAAATTAGCTTTCCTGTAAAGCTTTGAACATGACACCTCTTTGAATAGTCTTCCTCAGTACGTCCAGAGAGGAGTAATACAGTATTCCTCACCTGCACAGCACTGGAATTACTGTAAACCTCTATATACAAATGGAAACAAGAAAAATAATAAATCAAAAATTTGTGGAAATAAAAAGAACATAAAATGACAAATTAACAATAAATTCTGCCCAGAATAGGGCCTGTGTGGAACTGCACAAACTGTAAGTACTCAATTGTTCAAGCTTTTTCTATTTTGAGTGTGTATATGAAACCACATGCTGATAAACATCTTAGCTAAACACATACATATTAACTACAATATTAAATTGAACAAAATTATGTACTCCATTTGTGCCATAAAAAGCATGTTAAAATCAGAATCCTTTGAAGCTGATTGTGTTATTTTGAGCCTGAAGGCTGATCATCAGTAACTACTGGATTCAGTAGAAAGAAGAAAATATGGGTGGTGAGGATACTCTAAATCCTTTAGCTATTAAGTATGTCCAAACCATCCTGCAAATATTACAACTTCAGTATATGCAAAAGGCTTCAAATGTATTCAAAATGCTTAACCTTTAACAAGTTTGATGTTACATAGTTTAATATTTCCATATTGCATAGAGACCAAGAATGTTTTTATATTTTAGTTTGACGATACAAAGTCTTGATAGCTGTACTAGCAGAAGTTAAAAAGCATTATAAAAAGCTTTGGTAAACTTAAGCTGTAAAAAAAAAAGTTAAATGTCATTTACTTTGGGAAATTTTCTGTTAGGTTTTGTAGCACTATAACTAGAAAAGTAAAAAATCTGCTTGATTCCCTTCAAGTAATTTCTTTTCCATATTCTTCATGATTAAATATTTAAGCAGATACTATAGTTCAAACATTTCTGCATACCTAGAATTACTACATGTTTTATTTTACAGTGAGGGAGTATGTAGGATTTAAGCAATAGGTGAGGGAAAAGAAAAACATTGCTCTAATGCTCTTATGAGTCCACCTACCACCCCCTCCCATAGTACTGGAAAGTATTCCAGGTTTGGTGCAGTTATATTTGACCATGTAACTGTTTTCCTAACAAACAAATATTGTAACATTTAATACACTGCTTTAATAACAGTGAATAAATCAGTACATAAGCCTTTTGTTCATGTGTGCCCCATAATCTAGATTTACTCTAAATTAAACCAGATGGTGATTGCTTAACTCTTTAGTTTGAAGCTCTTACAGTGCAAGGCAACAATTAAATGCAGCTTACTCTGGGGGAATCGAGGTGGATTGTCGTTGACATCAGTCAAAGTGATGTTCACGGTGGTGGTCCCTGATAATCCACCCATCTGGCCTCCCATGTCCTTTGCCTGGATAACTACTTGGTACTGCTCCCTGTTCTCTCTGTTCATGTTTGGCAAAGCAGTCCTGATGATGCCTTAAATAAACAAAGAAAAAACAATAATTGTTAATAATCTCTTTATTTTTGATGTGCAACAATCTGCTGCATCTTTTTTGTATTAGTCTGTGAAATAGATTTCTAAAATATTAATTTCATGTTTTAAAGTACAAATTTCTGTTCATAAGCTTTATAAATAGTCTTCAGTACAGGCTGTTTCTTGAACAAACCTTAGTTCTACATCACAGCTCCCATTCCAGTTGTGGTGGGTTGACCCTGGCTGGATGCCAGGTGCCCACCAAAGCTGTTCTATTACTCCCCTCCTTAGCTGGACAGGGGAGAGAAAATATAATGAAAGGCTTGTGGGTCCAGATAAGGACAGGGAGAGATGACTCACCAATTACCATTATGGGCAAAACAGACTCAACTTGGGGAAAATGCATTTAATTTATTACCAATCAAAATCAGAGTAAGGTAATGAAAAATAAAACTAAATCTTAAAACACCTTGCCCCCACCCCTCCCTTCTTCCTGGGCTCAACTCCACTCTCAATTTTCTCTACCTCCTCCCTGCCTGTGGCGCAGGGGGACAGGGAATGGGGCTTGCAGTCAGTTCATCACACGTTGTCTCTGCTGCTCCTTCCTCTTCAGGGGCAGGACTCCTCACACTCTTCCCCTGCTCCAGCGTGGGGTCCCTCCCACGGGAGACAGTCCTCCATGAATTTCTCCAACTTGGGTCCTTTCCACAGTCTGCAGTTCTTCATGAACTGCTCCAGCGTGGGTCCCTTCCCCGGGCTGCAGTCCTTCAGGCACAGACTACTCCAGCATGGGTCCCCCGCAGGGTCACGAGTCCTGCCAGAAATCCTGCTCCAGTGTGGGCTCCTCTCTCCACAGGGCCACAGGTCCTGCCAGGAGCCTGCTCCAGCACGGGCTTCCCATGGGGTCACAGCCCCCTTCGGGCATCCCCCTGCTCCGGTGTGGGGTCCTCCCTGGGCTGCAGGGGGACAGCCTGCCTCACCATGGTCTTCCCCACGGGCTGCAGGGGAATCTCTGCTCCAGTGCCTGGAGCACCTCCTCCCCCTCCTTCTGCACTGACCTGGGGGTCTGCAGGGTTGTTTCTCTCACATGTTCTCACTCCTCTCTCCAGCTGCAGTTTCTGTTGCACTGCAACTTTTTTTCCCCTTCTTAAATCTGTTCTCCCAGAGGCACTACCACTGTCATTGATGGGCTCAGCCTTGGCCAGCGGCCAGTCCATCCTGGAGCCAGCTGGCATTGGCTCTGTCGGACATAGGGGAAGCTTCTGGCAGCTTCTCACAGAAGTCACCCCTGTAGCCCCCACTACCAAAACCTTGCCACGCAAACTCAACACACCAGTTTGAATTTCATGCTAAAAATGATTCAAGATATTTATGCACAAGGTTTATGAGTAGAAAGAAAACCTTTTATTAGACCAAGTAGAAACATTAAGAAAAAAAGGAACAACATTTCCTAGGACACAAACCTTTATTCTTGTCTTTATCAGAAATGTAGTTACTTACATCCTTAAGCTATCAGTAGTACAACTGTAAAGTGACTTGTGCTTCATAGTGTCAGCTGTAATAAATCTAAGTTTTTATATTTATTATAAGAATTATAATTCATGAAGAAAAAACAAGAAATATGATTTCACTTCAGTTAGTTTCTAAAATTAATTTTTTATATGATCTAAGATTTTTAAAATGAAAGAAAAAGTATACAGTTTATGGTAAGTGGAAATGCCAATTTTTCTAACCTGTTTCTGGTTCCACAGAGAAATATGGCTGTCCCTGAAGTATGCTGTAAATTACTCTGGCACTGTTTCCATATGAAGGATCATCTGCATCAGTAGCTGTAACTTGCACCACAGAAGTACCTGAAACATCCAAAGTCAGCTTAGCTTCACATGGTACTAGGTGAAGGTCCAAGAACATTAATTTCCATTTGAGCAGACCCCAAAGAAAATTTCAGCTAATGTCAGTTGGACTTTTCAAATATATCTATGATCTTATAGTCAACTTCAGGTACATTCTTCCCTATTTCAGGATGTCACTCTACAGAAACTGAATCTAAACTTCCCTAATCCCACAGGCATGATTAAGATCTAGTTACCAAAGGTAAACAATAGCTATAGTTAAACTGAATTCTTATCCTTACCCCGCTACAATAATTTCATACTTATGTACTCACTTCCTGTTTTCAGAAGACTTATTTATTTTTATTACAATAAATATCTGCTTTCCATTACCTAGAACAATTTTTTTTTTTTTTTGTCCAGTGATGTCAACATGATATGAAACTACACATGCAGGAACATGACAGAAAAAGATGATTAAATAGGTCATTGGAACTTGGGAAAAACTAGTCATCTGTTCTCCCTACCTTCTAAGTGTTAATATAGATAGATACTACCAGAAGAAATACTGCCATACGGACTTTGAAATCTGCTGGTTATTTAGACGCCAGAAAATTTTCTAATTTTAAAGACCATCCCTAAATTTTAGTGGAATATACTCGTTCTTCAAAACATGAAATGTTTACCATTGCCTCTGCCATTTCTTGCTGAATCAAAATAGTTTCTACATCCTGTTCAACTCTTCCACCAGAGAAATAAATTATCAACAAGTATCTTCCCCATTCTCCATAAAGTGCAGATATGATTTTAAGAATAGAGGAAATAAGTGAAAAAAAAACAAGGAAAGGAAAATAAATCATCATATGCATGTGACTGGTTAGCCACTGGCTATTCTGAAGATCAGAAGACTTTCAAACCTATTTCTCCTTTTGTCCCGATTTTTTCCCTCCAACAAATACTGCCAATTATTGTGAAATAAAGCACCTGTAAATCCAAGACACTTGGCACAACTATTTATTCCCTCTCATAGTTTGACTACATTACATGTTTATTCTAATGTACATAGAAAGGCAAATAGAAGTAAATGCTAAGCTTCCTCAGTTTTGGGGGGATTTCAGAAGATGATGACAAATCTGCTTTTGACAAGTCAATTGTTCACTCATGTGAAAAATTGCGCCAATATTGATAGAATGAGCACGTGCCTAACTGTTGAATCAGATGAGTTCTCAGAAATGTTCAGTTTTCAACTGTTTTAGAACAGAAACACTTGTTTCAGTGAGTCCCTAAAACTACGTGCATGTCATAAAGAATGCATAATAGGCAAATTCCTGGTTATATTATTTCTGGTATTAAAATGGAATGAATCACTGAGTTAACAGAACAAAGCCTCAAACACAAAATAAAATTTAAAAAAGACAAAAAAATTGCTACACAAGTATAATGAAAAAATAAGATAAAAATTATGAACACTTTCCACTCTACTCATAATTGTTTCAGTGACCATCTGGACTAGGACTGAAAGTGAAAATCTGAACACCTTTAAAATATAAGAATGTAAAGGTTGTAGAACTGTCCTAAAAATTTCATCTGTTTCTGATTTACAAATGTCTTATATCTCGAGACACAGTGAACTCCATTTGTAGATATATGTCTATATAAATATTCTGTTAAAAGATACAGAGGCCTTCTTGTTAAATATATTTAAGTTCTGAGGAGTATTGCCTTGGTTCCGAAATGCACTTTTTGGACCATCCTAGTGTGTAGCAAACTGCAGTACTAGAATGTATACTTGCTCCTAAAGAATATTTGCTCTGAAATAGCAAAAAGGTGTTGTGTAAAAGAAGGATAAGAACAAAACATGTTCAGTAACTTAAGTACTGCAAGTAAAAAAAGAAAAAAGCAACAGAAAAAAATTAAACCACCAAGCCAGCAAGTACACTGATCAATACTGCATTATCCAAGTCAAGTTTACAAATCCTCCATTTTATATCCATAAAGAGAACAGTCATCATCAAGGCATCTATCACAACAGTACAATGGATTAATCAGAAAAGTCTACATTGCAAACCCATGAAAGGTGATATTTTGTATATATTACGTGCAACTGAATTATTTATTTCTAATTTTCACATCTCCTTCATATGTTCAAACTAGCAGTATTTATTAATTAGTCAATTGTATGATATTTTTATTTCATTTTAGTTTAAAAAAACATGCTGAATTGATGTTGAAGGATAATTTGGAAGAAAACCGAAGAAAGTGTTTAATAGCTTTAAAATAAATTTTAAAAGTTCTATTTGCAATGTAATAAGTGTCTAATAGTTACTGCTGCCTCAATTATGAGGGTCATAATGCACATATGATGTATTAATTAATGCTATTTTATACACATGAAACAGAACAAATCATATCAGCTATTCTTCTCTCTAGCTGCAGTGAGCATGGCTGCATATACACCCAATAAAATCTATCGGATGCTTCTTCTGACAATTGTAGATTTGATCCTGTTCCCTTTAAAGTCTGTGGGAAGAGACTTTGGCTCCCTAATTTCATCACTAACACACAGTGCGATTTACTCAGTGGCTTATGCTCAGGGTAACGTACACCCCGTTACCCAGAAGCAGTAAGGATAGACTATAATTTTTAATGTTGGCTCAGCTCTTTGGCTTTTGCTGGGCAGCCACCGGTCAGGTACCTGGCAGGAAAAGTGCAAGGGCACCGCTACACTTCTGCGTGCCATTCAAGATGCAGAAGTAAGTCACCTCTTTGATCTTGGCCCTTGCTCCTAGGAAGAAGAGAGACATGCTCTCTAGGCTTCCACCAAGGGATCAGTGATTCCTATGAAAAACCTGATAGAAAACAGGCAAAGAAGCAAACAGGAGGAGTATATCAGGATATCAGTTATGTTGTGCACATGTTGATGTCAAACCATCAGCTTGTTTTGCTTTGCTTCAGTTCAATGAAGTCACTGAAGACCACTGATGCTCAATACAACAAATACAATGCTTGCTCTGGTCTGAAACCTGGACCCGAAATCACGAGGCACTGAAGATGATCAGTCGTGCCACAGTTTAAAAACTGCAGTGTGGGTGTGACTTAGCACTATTTGGTCTGGGCCTTACTCTGTCTTCTACATAGGCACACATTGCTTCTGATGAAGTTGGTGAGTCTTTGGCCTTCAGGATCTAAAGCCTAATCTGAACTCTGTAGGGCAGCATAAAGGAGACAGTGATAATATACTGGAGAATATGGCATCAGCTATGTTATCAATACGATATATGAATTCTGTGATTTTCTCCTTGTACACTTGCAGATTTCATTATATGATAAATTAGAATTCTACAGTGATGAGCTAGGCCCAGAAATAAACAGTCATTTGTCAGATTATTGTAGTTCTCAGAAGGCATATTTTAACATAATTTTAACTATAATGTTTGAATCTCCCTAGGGTCTGGTACTATGATAGTAATTAATATATTTGGCCCTTTTTAATGTGTTCCTTGCAAGCATCTTCAAACACCATACAAGTATTAATGACTTTGACCTCACAATGCATTTATGAGGTAGACCTATTAGATAAGAATCACTGAAGTTAATTAGCTAGGACAAAGAACCCACAGAATACCCATTGTAGAGCTGAATTTGAAACTTATATTTCCTTTTCCTTGCTCCCAACTGAGCTATGTGATATTTAACCACAGCAAGTACCCTCCCTAGTAAATTATCCATAAAAATAACATGTTGAATTAATAGAAATTTTCTGCTCTTTCTAGCAGAAAAGAGAGGAAATAATGACACATGTTCTCCCCTGAAATAAACTATTTAATGCAGCAGAATAACAAAGAAGTGGAAAGGTCTGCATATTCAGAGAAGCTGATGTCAGAAAGACCTTTGGCTACATGGTACTCCTGTAACTTGGAAAACAATAAGCTGGAAACAAGCACATCAGTGGAGATTTCCAATTCTTTTAAGATGTCCCTTTTATAGAAAAATAATGTTTAATCTTGAGGGGGTTTTTTGGTTTGGTTTTGTCTGGTTTTTTTTTTTCTTTTTTGTTCCCTCTCCTTATGGCAGGATTAGTGTACAGAGTGAAATTGGAGTTTGTAAAAAATTGAAAAATATAATATAATAATTTGGGTTTTCAAAATCTGTCATTATTGATATTATAAAATTATAAGTCAGAAGGTGCAAAAGGGTTTGGTGAAAGAACTATAAGATTAAAAAATCTTTATTAATTGGAAACAAGAAGGAAGTGTTATAAGATAAATGCTATGGCAGAGAGGACTAAGCATTGGGAATTGGTGGAACAGCACTAATGAGGGAGTGTACAAAAAGCCTCAGGAGAAAGCTGAGCAATAGTAGCTCTAAATGCTGTTTGAAGAGGAAGACAAAAAGATAAACACAAGTAGAGATGACAGGCTAACTGTGGGACACCCAACCTGTAGTTCATGTGTAAACCCAGAGGGAAGTTACATCTTATGAAACATATATTGATATCCCTAATTCAGCAGCAGAAAAGACCAGCATGACAGATAGTAGAAACAGCACTGAAGATACAGGATGGAATAAGCATAAGGAATGACTAGAGAATATACAGGCTATGACAGATGAATAGAGAAACATCAACAAATAGAAGAAAGGATGTGATGATTAAAAAAAAAAAGGTCTAAATAACAGAAAGTTCTGAAAGCTTGTCTAAAAAGGCAAAATCCACGGGAAAAGCTGTATAGAGGAAAACAGACTCATTTGCAGTCCTGAAAAGAAACCCTTGAATGAGCAGAAAGAGATAGACAGGTGAAGAATATGATGCACGGAACAGAAAATTGTTGTCAAAACTGTAAGAATATTCTGAGTCATAAACTTTGAAAATAAGGAAAGGAAAAAAGTGAAAGAAGAGAAAATATCCGGTAATCAGTACAAAGACGTCAGGAGAACAAGACCTCTTCTAGGATATTGACCCAACTGCAAGATCCTGAAGTTGGCCCATTTATCTCTGCCTTTACTATGATTAATAAGCAGCA